TAAATAAATAAATAAATAAATAAATAAATAAATAAATCAATAAATAAACTAGTGCCAGATAAGCTTTTGTGGTTTCTTTTCTTTTTTTAAGTAAATGGCAGCAGTGGCGGTGGTGATCATTTAACTAGGAGCCAGTTCAAACTACTAAGCATCCAAAAAGTCCTCTATATGGAGAAAAATCCCGCAAGTTTCCCTCAAAAATATTCAGTTTTTTGCAACTGAAGAAATAGGTGAACATCCTCAAGTATAAGCCAGTGAGTAAATTATTAAGTAAACTTATCAACTAATCAATGAGTTTTTTATGTTTCTGGTTCTAGCTGATTTTGCAAAATAATAATAATAATTGAATATATATATATGAATAGCCCATTCACCAGCACTGATGTCCCAACACCCGTCATCTCCTGGATAGAGATCCGGGATCAGTGAAGGCTTCTGTATTGATCGTCTCTCAGTAGAAACACTGAGTTAGAGCCGGAAAACCCAACATGATTAATGATCCGCATTGAGCTTCTTCCACATCTGATGACCAGCAGACTCTGGACATTTGTTCCTACTCACAGCGGCCCATCAGTCAGAGCTCAAATTCACGGCTGACAACACTCCATAAATCACACCAAACTAAACTACACTCAACATAGAAGCTTCCCATTAGCACTGATGGAGATAATAATGAAAATATAGTTCTGAAAATACTTGGGTTTCCTCCAGGTGCTTTGGTTTACACCACAGTCCAAACACATGCACTATAGGTGAATTGAATAAACTAAATTGACCGTAGTGTTTAAGTGTGTGTGCGCATGTGTGTATGTGTGTATGAATGTTTCCCAGTACTGGGTTGCAGCTGGAAGGGCATCTGCTACGTAAAACAAATGTTAAAAAAGGTATAGCATTTACTTGAATTAGAGGTATCACTTTATAATAACGGCACACTATGAATCATTTATTAAGCATTAGCAAATAGTTAATTAACTGTTCGTAAAGCATTAACTTAACATTACTACTAATAATATTAGTAAGTAGTTAAAAAAATACAACCACAAATGTAGTGTTCTTGACATATAAGCATATGTATAATGTACTTGATTGTGTTTTTGTACTTTGTTAATTATTGATTTTTCATTACTAATTTCATTAATTATTGATTTATTTACAAAGCAGTTATTCAAGAATAGTTGATGGTTTTTCAAGATCAATCAGAATGCATACGTAAATTATCAATAAACTATT